CCAGGAGGTTCAAAACCCCCAAAAACAAAAACTGAGGCAGAGTCTTTGAATGTCAGCAGCTTATTCCGAATAAGAGCTCATCTTGGCAAAACCAAGAACTGTCAAGCTTCAGTGTGAGTTTGTGCGTGTGTGTCGTTGTGTGTGGTGTGTTGTGTGTGTGTGTGTGTTGGGACTGTAGGAGCTGCTGCTAGTTAGCAGGCGGGCGTGCTAACATCGCCTACTGGTCGGTTATAGCCGTCAAAAGGAGCTCGTTGGCGGTGTAAACGACGTCCACCGAGGTGATGTCCACGCGTCGCATACGGAGACCTCCTGCCGGACGTCCGCCGAGCCGGATACGTAACGCAAAAAAGCAGCAAACATGAGCGATTGCGGTCCGTGGAACCTGCTTGGCAATCTTGGTGTCGCTGATCTGGCATCTTGGTTTTGTGGCGTCTACTACGGGTCAAGAGCCAGTCGCCAGATCCGCTCCCAGTTCCGTGCGCTCCCGGGGGTGGCAGTTCACGCTGCCGCAGGAGAGGCCCGCTAGAAACACCAGAGAGGCGGCTTGGGGATAATTTAGTAGTTGTTTTTTGTATGGAAGAAGCCGTGTCTGACCAGTGTGAAACCCAGGCAAGGGGGAGGGCCGAGAGGGAGTCCTGTAAGTCATTATGAAGAGACACCTTTTATCAAAATACATCCACTTTAGGCATCCTCAAAAATGTTGCTTTGTGTCTCAAAATAATGAGAACCTTCCTTATTAGTTTTTCCGTCTTAGTATCTCAAATAGGATGAACAAAACTTTCTCACAATTGATTAACATCTCCAAAACATAATTTATTTAGTATCTCAAACATAATGAAAAACTCTAATCATTTTGTCTCTAGTACTTCCCCAAAAATCACACGGGAAGAAACATGCTACAATACTTGTGTCCCCCTACGGCCTTCCTCAAAAACATCACTGAGAAAACGTTCTTATTAGTTTGTCTAAGTATCCTCCAAAATTCCATGAAAAACTTTCTCAAAATTGTTGACTTAACAATCTCAAAATATTTATTTAGTATCCTCAAAAGATCAATGAAAGAGACTTCTTAATATTTTGTCTTCACGTATCCAAAATGGATTGAGGAAACATTCTAAGTATTGTCGTCGCTAGCTTCTCAAAATAGATAGGACACCTTTCTTAAAATTGACTTAACATCCTAAAATATTGAAAAACCTTCCTCAATGTTGTGTCATAGTATGCTGCAAAAATAATGAAAACCATTTCTCAGTAGTTTGTCTTAGTCATCTCTCAATAATGGAAAAACTTTCTTAAAATTGACTTAACATCTCAAAATAGTTGGACTTAGTATCTTGCAAAAATAAAGAGAAACGGTTCTCAATATTCTATGACTTAGTATCTTAAAATAATGAGAGCATTTTTTAAAGATACCAAGTCATCTATTTTTGAGAAAGGTGTCTCAATTATTATGACTCATGTGGTGGAATAAACTGGGCTCCATACCATAACCCAGGTGGGGATTTTAGAGGACCATCAATAAACTAGCTGTAGCTGTGTTTTTATCAATACCTTCACTGCTGACTTGGCTCACTATTAGTAAATCTCAAAATAATGAGAAACCTTCTTATTAGTTTGTCTTAGTATCTCAAAATAATGAAAAACTTTCTCAAAATTGACTTAACATCTCAAAATATTTATTTAGTATCTCAAAATAATGAAAAACCTTCTTAATATTTTGTCTTAGTATCCCAAAATGATGAGAAACATTCTAAATATTGTGTCCTAGCTTCTCAAAATAATAGGACACTTTCTTAAAATTGACTTAACATCCTAAAATATTGAAAAACCTTCTCAATGTTGTGTCATAGTATCTCAAAATAATGAAAACATTTCTCAATAGTTTGTCTTAGTATCTCTCAATAATGGCAAACTTTCTTAAAATTGACTTAACATCTCAAAATATTGACTTAGTATCTCAAAATAAAGAGAAACGTTCTCAATATTTTGACTTAGTATCTTAAAATAATGAGACATTTTTAAAGATACTAAGTCATTATTTTGAGAAAGTGTCTCATTATTATGACTCATTGGTGGAAATGGGCTTCCATACATAACCAGTGGGGATTTAGAGGACCATCAATAAACTACTGTACCTGTGTTTTTATCAATACCTTCATGCTGACTTGCTCATATTAGTAAAACAATAGTGATTAAAAATTATACTAAATTGGTATAATGTAACACACTTTGATGTCTAGAGTGGGATTAATTTGTTTTAAATAAAAAATATTTTAACTGAAAAAAGGGCAGTTTCTTTTTTAATAGCTTCCATGTAATGCGACCCATGTATACTACACTGAATTATATACTAAAATATTGTGGGCTCCCCTATAAGCAGTATAAAACAGTAGATAAACAGCTAGAAAAAAACAAAATAAGTAACCATGACCAACTTTCTAAGTACCAATTAACCTTTAGCAATGGCTGTCTGCATCAGTGATACACATTCAGAGCCAGAATACATTATAGTAAACAAACACAACAAGAAATACACTGAACTAACACAGAAAATTAAAGGCCAAATCTATAAGACAGACACTGCTCAAGTTTGTTCAAATAAAATTCCCTCATTGTAAACAATTACGTGCAGTTTTATTTATCAGGTACTGCACATGGTGTTTTTTGTTTTCAAGCTCAGTTTCAGTTAGTTTCCAGAGTGCGTTGGCTCCTTTCAGTTACATTTTTATTGTTTAAGAATGTTTAGTTTAGTTTTTTTTTTATTATAATAATTATAGGGGGGGTATTTGTCAGGGGCAAGATTTAAGAAGTTCAGAACAGAATACAAACAGACATCCCAGTCTCAGTTTTGCCTCCTCATGCTTGTTGTGTTGATACATTCGACCAAATTAAGACTAAAACTAAAGTAATTTCCTGTATATTTTTTTTTATTGTAGTTAGTTTAATTAGTACACAATAACGTGTGGGTTTATCCCCCCAAAGTTTATTATATTATTTTTTATTTCAGGTAACTAAAATGTTCTCTCACAACTAGTTTTAGTTTTTAATTTAGTTTTAGTTAACTATAATAACCTCGTTGCTGAGCCTGAATGAAGGGCACACACTCACACTTTTTGCACAAAACTTAACTTGTAATAATTGCATATGTACAGTTAGTTTAAAATATTTTACATACATATTTTCAGTTTTTTCAGTTATATTTTTTTTATATTTTCTATTATATTTTTTATATTTCCTAATATATATTTATTATATTTTTTTATTATTATTCATTATTGTATGTATTTTTCTCTTCCCCTGTGCTGTTTTGTCAAACCTGAATTTCTCCCACGGGGATCGATAATCTTACCTCTAGGTAGTGCGCATGCGCTTCAGTAGGAAGTTTAATTTGAAAATACGCCCCGGAAGTGTGGTTAGTTGTGTGTGTTGATATTATCGATCGCTGTCAGGGTTGCTTGGTGTGTCAACGCCAAAGAACGACAATGTAGTTAAAGTTTATATCAGAAGACCAACAGCGACTGTTAACCTGTTTTCTATCGGACTGTCTCCAAATGGCGGAAGTGAACCAGTCCGTCCTTAGGTATAAACAACATGCTGCTTTCAGTTTGAGACCTTTGACTTTTCACATGCAGTCTGAGCACAGAACAGACACTGGATAGGTCCCCTATTGTGTGTCTAATGAATGACAGCCTGCAGGACGAAACACATGCATTATGTGTGCTTTTGCTATATGGTTTGGTTTCTATAAAAAAAAAGTGTGTATGTGTAAAAGTCTTTGTCCACAGGCATTAAAAAGGTTTGTTATATTATATAATAATATGCATGTACTGAATTTAAGTTTTCCATCTGCTTGCTCAGTGTTGATGAAGAGAAGTTCAAGAAAAGTGAGCATGTTGCTTTTTACAGGTATGTTGGGCACAAATTACTCCACAGTCACCCACAGTTAAGTGTGTTTTGCAGAACATAATTGTCCTGTACAGGATGAAGTTTATAATATATATTGCAATGTTGTTGTCACATCCGAGGCGACAGATCCAGGGCCCGAACTTGCAGTACCAAGCCCTTTTGGACACCATGGTGCTCACAGAGAAGGGGGCACGCTTTGAACTGCTGGAGCCCGACACGCAGGTCTGAACACCAGGTTTACTGTAAACCACAACCAATGATGAGTTATGTCTTTATTCACATTTGACACCATTTAATCATTGCGAATGCACATAAAAAGTTGCTGGTGTTTTATCTGTTGTATGTATTGATGCATGTCTGTGAGGCTAAAATTGTGTAAAAATCATACACCGTGCATTGCATTTTCTTTGAGGATATGTTTGACTACGTTTTTTTTTTTAGTTTTAGAAAGAGAGATGAATCTTCTTTGATTAAAGATTACGATTAAGAATGGTCACAAGTATCTTTAAGTAGAAGTAGACTGGTTTTAGGTAATACATTTTAATTCACGTCAGGTTAAAATGGTCTTTATTAACTGTTAAATTCACTGAATTGTGCATAGAAGCCAAACCAGAACCCTCCATCAATGAAATCCCCTATAAGTAACTGTGTAGTTAGATGACAATTACGAGCAAAATGCAAATAAAATCTGCCCCCAGTATCTCAATAATAAAGTACATTAAAGAACTTGTTAAACTTGTTATAATATCTGAACTTTCTACATCAGAAAACTCTTCTTGCTGTGCTCTTTTCACAGACGTCACTGCTTCTTTGTGTGTCACCTTGCAAGAACGACACTGTAAGGATATTAATAGACGAGCTCCAGCCGTTTAAAGCGCGCTACAGAGTTCCAGATGTGATAACGGGGGAACAGCAGTGTGCACAGTAAGAGCCGCATCAGCATCATCATCACCCCATTATGATATCTAGTTACACAAGCAATGTACTTTAACTGATCCACTCCTCGTATCTTAGGCCTTTTCTCTAATGCACTAAAAGCTTTGAGTCTAGGTTGTGTTGCACATCCGTGATTCTCACTGTTGAAATCAATTTAGGTAGTTTCTTGTCAAAATATCAACATCTTTAAAATAGCTTTTAAGTCAAAATTAAAGGGAAACCTTTTTAAATGGTTGTTACATTCTTTTAACTATGTCTTAGTGTGTTATTGCTGCAGTACTTGGATAGTGGTTGACCTTTTTCTCTCATCACCTGGCAGGTTGAGAGTGGAGAGACAGTCTAAGTACTGCGTCACCCTTTCTTGGTCTTCAGGCCGTCACCGGGTTTGCGTGTGGCATTTCCCTTTCCGACTGGAGATCCTGTGTGAGGACGAAGTGATGGTTACATTCAACTCTAAAAGCAAACTGTGGTTCGAGACCCTGCAGGATCCGACCAGGTGAGGCTCTCAGAAGAAGGGTTGTGTACTAGGAAATAAAACAAACACATGAAAAGAGTTAAATTACATGTTCTGTGTGTCTTTTTTCCTCAGGGCCTCATCTCATGATAGTGAGGTAAGAGAATACCAAAGCTGTAATATTACTCTTACTTGAAGCTTAATGTGGTCTATAAAGGCATTTGTTCTTTTTCCCTTTGTTCCTCTGACAGCTTCAAGAGGACCACAAAAGTTTATTATGGAAAGAGACTTTTAAGCAGTTTGTGGATGTCAAAGCAAATGGTTTGTTTCTGCTGTTTTACCATTTTTAAAAGGCATTTTTAAAAGGCAAACTTGTCAGTAATTGTGCCCTGTTTTCTTGTCAGAACTTCACCACTGTAATGTTTTATTCTAAATATTTAGATTCTAAATACATATTATAACTATATGTTAACCACATTTACGTAGCAGCTTTACTAACATTCAGTATTCTTTGTACATTGTAGCTGCTTTAAGACTCATTCAGAAAAACAATTACAAAAAGCTAGGGATGCACCGATAACGATAACAGTATCAGGTCTAATACTGAACTCATGTACTCGTAATTGTAGTCATAAAACTTCTCAGATATCACTTTAAGGCAGCGTGATGTTATGCAACCTCTCGTTAGTAAGGCAAGTAGGAAAAAGAGAAGCAGTGTCAGCAGTTTGAAAATATTTTAAGCAACTTTTACAAAGAAATGTAGTCTGTAACAGTCAGAAAATGAGGAACATGTATTAAAATATGTTCCTAAAGTAGTAAGAACTTTAATGGTGTTATTAAGTACTCATATCTGTACTTGATATCGTCAAGTACCCGAGTAAGTAAGTACTTATATTTTGCCTCATGAAAGCTTGCTCTACTTCTTGTTCAATTCCAGGTCCCAGTAGCATTGGGTCAGACTTCTGTTTTCACGAGTTCAGTCATGTGTACGGTCTGCCAGAGCACGCTGACAGCCTTCAGCTCAGAGACACCAGGTACACACACACAAATTTTAACAAATGTTTTGTGCAATAAAGACTCATTTATTTGCATTTCATCAATTACAGCTTTAAATGTTTAGAATCAGTTGGTAATGATGTCTTCAATTCATTTCGTTTTCCAGACATGGTGAACCTTATCGGCTGTATAACTTGGATGTCTTTGCCTATGAGTTGTACAGCCGCCTCGGCCTGTATGGGTCTGTGCCGCTGTTGGTGGCCCACAAACCCGACAGGACTTTGGGTGTATTTTGGCTGAATGCGTCCGAAACGTTTGTGAACGTTCGTTACAACCAGTCTGAGCACCAGGTAACCCCTTGTTCCAGTGCTCTCCTCACACATTATCTGCCTAGCTGTCTGTTAAAGCTAAGTTTTTCATGAGCTCCTTGTTTATTCCCAGAGGTAAGAGAGGCAGAACTTTTGGAATGAATCCCAGGCTGGGTAAAAGAGTTTTGTGGGGAAATTGAAACAGCAAAGCTACCTGATAACAACCACTGTCTTACCTCATAATATGTCCAGTCCTGCACACTTTTAGTGTTACTTTTGCAAGTCCTCCTGGTTGCAAACCGATAATAAAGATGGTTCTAAAAACCAAAAAATGTTATAAGATGTAAAAAATATATACGTTCATAGCCACATAATAACCTCCTACCTCTCCCAGGATGATGGATCACCCCAACTGAAGAGGAAGCGGATGCAGCCTCGGACTGACGTCCACTGGCTGTCAGAAAGTGGTGTGATTGACTGCGTGGTTCTGCTCGGGCCCAGTCCGCAGCAGCTCTTCTCCCAGTACGCCAAGCTGACAGGTGTGTGTGCAGCACTGAATGTGTTTGTACATAAAAACAAAGCATGGCCTGAAAAAAGTCAATTTAAGATCTTAAAAAAGATTATGGAGGTTTTTACCTTTATAGTGTCTAAATTAAACCACAATTATTTATTAAATCATGAATTTTCTGTCAGGGTATCAGGCACTACCCCCTTTGTTTGCCCTCGGGTACCACCAGTGCCGCTGGAACTACAACGATGAAGCTGACGTGAAGGCCGTAGATGCTGGATTTGATTGCCACGATATTCCATACGACGTTATCTGGCTGGACATTGAGCACACGGATGGGAAGCGTTATTTCACCTGGGACTCTGCTCTTTTCCCCGAACCAGTCTCCCTGCAGCTCCACCTAGAGAAGAAGAGGAGGAAGGTCAGTTTTAGGCTGCATCATGTGTATTTACAGCCTTTTTTTTTGTGGTCATGTAAAAAAATGTGGATTCTTTATTGTGCACATTGCTCTTATCTTTCAGTTGGTTGTTATAAATGATCCTCACATTAAGACTGATCCTGATTGGTCGCTGTACCATGAGGCCAGAGACGGAGGGCACTTTGTCAAGGACAGAGAGGGACAGACATATCAGGGCTCCTGCTGGCCTGGTAATGTTTTTCTTACTATAAATAGACTTTCATTTATAAATGACAAAACCTACAAGCCTCTGCTGACATACATATAAAGTTAGTTAGTTAACTGTTCCCCTAACATACAGTACAGACAAATAAAAATAATTGTCTTGATACCTTGTGTTTGTTCTTATAAGATTTATTTATTAAATGACAGTATGAAACCATACATGGAACACAACCCCAGGCATACCGCTGACAAATAACAACACAAGCACACAACTTAAACTTACACAAACACATATTAACTCAAACTCAACAAAAGACATGGAAATTACAAACAGATAAATAAATGAAACCCACATAAAATATATATATAAAATGACCAAAATACTTATATTAAATAGTTGCAGTAAAACGTAAAATGATAATAGTTTGGAGCGGTTACTCAGAGATGACTTCAGATGATCTCCAGTTTCTTAAAAAAGGATAGAAAAGGGGCTCCATAAGCCACAGAATTAATTGACCTACTTTTAAGTGGAGATTGTTTGTTTCTTTCTAACTGGAGCTTTTATCAACCTCTTTTATAGGCAAGTCATCTTACCTCGATTTCAGCAGTCCAGACACTCGAGCGTGGTACTCCAGATGTTTCAGCCTAGATAAGTATAAGGTAAAAAAGTGTAAAAATAATCCACAAATCAATACTACTCTATATATGCATCCCAGTTCATCCATAAGAACAGACCAAAACAGTTCAACTAATGTTTTTACATCCTACAAAATGACTAAATATTCCAATATAACTATGTTTTTATACATAGCATAGTTTTATAGCTGTGAAGTGACAGAGAGCGGTTTTGCTGTCGTTGAAGTGTTTATGTCTGATGCAGGGATCAACACCATCGTTATTTGTGTGGAATGATATGAATGAACCGTCTGTGTTCGACGGGCCAGAGCAGACAATGCCAAAGGACGCAGTGCATTATGGGGGCTGGGAACACCGGGAATTACACAACCTGTACGGCTTCTACCAGGTGAGCGGGCTTATTTAACTCATTTCAGACAAGAGTTATTATAGCTTTGTATTTTTGTATTATTAGTTTTTATTTTGATTGTTTAAGTTTAGTTTATGTTAGTTGCAGTATTAGTTTTTTTTTAATATAATTAAGGGGCTGTTTGTTTGTTTATACATACATGTATTACCATACAATAGGTATTAGGACTCAGTCATGTACACATCCCAGTCTCAGTTATGCATCAATGACTCCTCATGCTTGTTGTGTTGATACATTAGACCAAATTTACAAAGACAAAAAAGACATTTCCTGTATACTTTTATTTTATTTTAGTTATTTTACAAGTACACAATATCATTTCAATTGCTGTTGACATATTTGTATCATTATTCCACCTGTGTGATTTTAACATATTCAGAAAACCCCAGAACCCCAATCTTGTCGGGGTAGTTAAGGGACCTCCTCTCTTCACCTCACCTTCAATGAGAGGTGCACAACTTTAATAAACAACAGTTATTAAAGGTTTTTCTTGTTGTCTGACAGCACATGGCCACAGTGGAGGGTCTGATAACTCGCTCAGGTGGCTTAGAGAGACCTTTTGTCCTTTCACGCTCCTTCTTTGCTGGGTCTCAGAGACTTGGTACGTTTTTGTAAAATGAAAAATAAACCCAATCCCCTGTGATGTATTCATTGTTGTAATCCTTCACTGCACTGTTTGTTGTGATTGACTGTGTTGGGGATGCAGGAGCAGTGTGGACAGGTGATAACGCTGCCAGTTGGGAGTATCTGAAGATCTCCATTCCAATGCTTTTGTCCCTAAGCGTGGTGGGCATAGCATTTTGTGGAGGTACTGTACATAGTGGATTTTTTTTAAATAGTAAAATCACAACTAGAATTGTTATTGACTGTTTGAGAGACAAATATTGGACTTTATGTGGCAAACTTGGTTAAGAGAGTAACTGTCTTGGTACAGACACACATACTGTTAAAACTAGTTATTTCCTTAAAACTGGCCTTAACAATCAATCAATCAAAATGTATTTATATAGCACATTTCATACAGTTTAGTTAAGTTTAAAGTGCTTTACAGATGATTGTCAAGACAGTAATAAGACAGAATTAAATAAATTAAGAAAGATACAGTAACTAGACTCACAGCACTGAAATATGCTGCTTTTCTGTTATTTATCTCTTAACACTGAAGTTGCGGCCTCTCACGTCTTTCTCGCTCCGTGTTTCAGCCGATGTCGGCGGGTTTGTTCAGGATCCGGAGCCGGAGTTGCTGGTGCGCTGGTACCAGGCAGCCGCCCTGCAGCCGTTTTTCCGAGGTCACTCTGCAAATACGACAAAGCGTCGGGAGCCCTGGCTGTTTGGAGAGGAAGTCACAGCCTCCATCCGCACCGCGATCCAACAGAGGTACTTTAAAGCCTTGGTCACACTACATGACTTTCAACGTTGTCAGATCTCTGTATGGTTCTTGAAGTGGTTTTCACACAGTGTGACTGATCAGCAACAGGGGGTCACGCACGTCACAAGATCTTCACTTCACAAGGAGTCTGTCTGATCTTCAAGCTACGTTTCATCATAAAAGTCATTAATAACACCATTCACATCATGTTTAATTAGGAAAGTAGTTAAAAAACAACCACAGAGGGCAACCATTTACAGCATACTGCTGTCAGAAACTTGTAAAAATTAGCTAATAATTAGCCTGATCAGCCAGTGTGAGGTGTGTGTGTGAGGTGTCAGCCAGTCAACAGGGAAAGAAGCAGGGATATTGGTCATCTTTTTTTGTTAGAACATAGTTATGTCCAAATGAATCAGTTGGTTGGTTGGTGGTTGTCAAATTTAACAGCCTCTGTGTTTTTTGTTGTTGTTGCTGGCACATTTTGCTTGGAAAGAAACTTAAAATCCTCCATTCCAGTCATCTTCATTGACCAGCCAAGACAGCTGAAACTGATCACTATTATTTAAACACATCTTTGACAAACAGTTTCACCTCATTACTCCTTTAAATGTCAGAGTCAAAATGCAGAATAGAACACAAACTTGTGACGTGTTTCGAGATGCTTCTGATGCACTGGACACAATTATGTTTTAATGATTCTTGCAGAGATAGAGGGTTTGTCAGAGTATTTCCTCCTCTGTACTCAGGTACTGTTTGCTGCCCTACTGGTACACTCTGTTCCACCAGGCTCACGCCTCTGGTCTGCCTCCACTCAGGTTAGTGCTGCTGCTGCCACCTGCTGCTCAGTGGAAGCACTGCAGGCCTCGTTAAGCTCTTGCTATTGAAGACTCTGTAGTTTTTTTCGGGCACTAGAGGTCAATGTCTCTCATGTTTTGATGATGCAATGTTGGCAAGCATAAATTTAACTCTTATTTAAAGATAGATCGATGGATTGGTGGATAGATAGACAATTAAAGAGAATTAAAAACTACTTTTATGTCCAACTGTACAGACCTCTGTGGGTGGAGTTCCCAACAGAACAGAGCACCTTCCCTGTGGATAACCAGTATATGATTGGTGATAAATATGTTTTATTTTTGCATTTTTACTCAGTGTATCTTGGAATTATTGCACTGTTGTTTTTCTTGGTTTAACTGTCTCTGATTTCGTGCAGGAAGAGCTCTGCTGGCCTGTCCTGTAACTGACCCGGGTGTTCAAGAAATCCAAGTCTTACTTCCTGGATCTGATGAGGTAAATCAACCACCAGCTGACATATTTTATTCCTGATATGCCTCAGTGTGATTGTACTAAGGCTTGTTTCTGTTTTAGGTTTGGTATGATGTTCACTCTGCAAAGATGTATAAAGGAGGCAAGACTCTGAGTCTTCCTGTCACCCTGGATTCAGTAAGTGTCTTGTTTCATACAGCAGTGTTTTTTGCTGAATTAGTTAATTATATTATATTTATTGAATTCTAGTGCAGATTATGGCACTGTACTTTTCCTAAGTGGTTCCTTCATGCACGGTCAGTTCTAAACTGACTTTGACGTTCTGGTCTTTCCTCTGTTCAGGTTCCTGTGTTCCAACGCGGCGGCTCGGTGGTCTGTAGGTCGACAGTAAGCGGATTCTGTACAGCCGATCTCCAGCACCTCCCCTTCTCCATCACTGTGGCCCTCAACTCTCAGGTGAGCAAAAGGATGTGGGAACCTAGCCTCTGTACCAGGTTTCATAAAGCAAATGATGCCAGGTTTAGTTCTGATCACCATCTTGACCTGAAGAAATATGCTGATAGAAACTGATAAATGACAGAGGTATAGCAGCAAAAAGTGTTAAATACTTAACATAAAATGCTGCCTTTTAAAGCTAAGGCAAAGTTCATTCGTACATTGCGTGAACTGTTTACTCTCTATTAGTTTAGACTTGAGACATTTGCACCTTTTAATTAGTAAAATCCTGACTGCTGTCATTTGTCTCTGCAGGGCGTCGCTGATGGTGAGTTGTACCTGGACGACGGCCACTCCTTCAGTTACCGTGATAGAAAGGCCTTCTGCCTGCGCAGGTTCAACATGCTGTCAGGCCGTCTGCTGTGTCGGTGAGTCATAACTCCCACCTCCTAAAGAGGAATCCAGTTTTAGACCAAATATCTATTTTTTGGGTTGTGACAGACAGGAAAGCTGAGTGCTGAAGTGAACCTCAAATAGTTTGAACTTCTGAACCCAAAACACTTGACACATGATGATTTGATACCTGCTGTTGCATCTCGCAGCTCTGCCAGTGAAGAAGGAACATTTGACACTGATACTGTGATACAGTCAGTCATCATCCTCGGGGTGAAGGGCAAACCGTCCACAGTGGTTGTGCATGTGTCAGGTGAGGAACTCTGCCCTTATAGCTGCATATATTCACAGTAGGACTGTAGAAACTGACATTCACAAGTATATGCAACATATATGCACCGACAACATGGGTCCCAGTACCAGCAAAGCCACATTAGACACTGGTCTAACTAGAAAAAGGTTTAAAGGAGAAACACACTGTAAAACACAGCATTTCCTGGTCTATTTCATTGTTTGATGGTATGTGGTCAAAATAGCCCAACATCGACATTTGTTAATCATTTAAAATAAAAAAAACTCACATGACTCACTGCTTTGGACTGTTCAATAATTATAAAAGAAGAGGCAGGGAAACAGATTTTTCTCCTGTAGGAAAATAAAGCAATTACAGTTGAAATTAGGGAAATTTATTTTCTATTCTCAGTAATGAGAACAAAAAAAAGACTCTAAGGCAAAACATAACACCTTTTCTTTTTATGACCAGGTGCAAACGACACCTCTGCTGCGTTTCAGTACACAGAGACCTGCTGCACACTGACAGTGAGCAACCTGAACCTCAGAGTGTCGACGGACTGGGAGATACAGATACTGTAGGTTTACTGTAAATGTGTCAGTCACTGATTTTCCCTCCTCTGGATTTCTTATAGATAAGTCAGGGAAAACCTTCCCAGAGTCATTTATTATTAGCAAAGTACAATACTTGACTGAATATATATTAAATTCTATTTTATTATGATTATATATTGTTTTATGCTGTGACTAAAGTGGAGTTCACATCACAAACTGGCACAAGAGCAGCTAACAAATAAGTTAAAAAAAAATGCGAAAGGGATTACCGCTACACTTATTATTTTACTTGTATTGAACTTCAGAGTTAATTTTACTTTTGTCAAATCCCTCCTCAGACTTCTTCAGGTACTGTATTGTTTTCAAGTCAAGGTTCACTAAAACCTGAGTTTGCTGACTGAATCTGGGTCTGTAGTCCTAAAGACCAGGAGTCCAAAGAGACGTATTTTAATCTGTTAACAAAAAAAATTGCTATTTCTTCTTAAATTTTTCAAGATGATTGATTAATAATAATAATAATAATAATAATAATCAATGAAGAATTACATGTGGTTTTGAAGTTGTGGAGTTAAAGTTTACCAAATAAACTGAGCTTCCATTGTAACTCGTTGTAACAGACTCTCTTTTATTCCTAACATGTCGTCATGCTTAGCTAGCGACAAAACATATATTTTACTCAACAATATTGTGTTGTGTTGGTGTGAAGTGGGACCTGACCTCTTCCTAACCCTTACTTTAGACACAAAATTGCTTGCTTTGCTTACTTTAGACACAAAATATTACAATAGGAAATGCTGGAATAAGCCAAATACCTGTATGAGACATTATAAGGGAAACAGCAGTGAGTGTAAGATTCAGAGCCAAAATATTGTAACATATCCTTAACATACCTTTATTTTACTGCAATTATTACGTTTGATAGGGAAGTGCTATGATAGTTATTATAAAACTAGAAACCAAAACTATTTGATGTTGGGTTTAGTTTTATAGCTGTGTGTTGCTAAATGTTGAAGCTTTCTAGTTTAATACCACATTAGTTACAGATGTTAGAAACTGTTTGGTAGGAGGACGGTAAGATATGTAATTAATGATGGCTAAAATATTATAAACATCTTTGATAGTACAAAATTGTGCCAGTTTCTTACTGTCTGTTAATTAAACAGGATTGTTCTAAAGTTATAGCATCTACAGTAACAGTAAATGTTGGTCATTGGAGGTTATAAGGGGTATAAGTTTGTTCCAGCAAATGCTATAGGCCATATTAAAAACTAATAAATATTGGTAGGACAGAGGTGTAGCTGTAAAAACTGTTAAATACTTCATTAAAGATAAGCCTTGTAAGGCTGAGGCTGGTTCATACATATATGTACATACATGTTCTCAGACTCGCTAGTGATAAAACATATATTTTACTTAAGAATATTGTGTTGATGTGTGACCTGACCTCTTCCTAACCCAGATGTTTGCTTACATTAGATACAAAATAGTACAAGAAGAAATGCTGGAATAAGCCAGATACCTGTATGAGACATTATTAGGAACAGCAGCGAGTGTAAGAGGAAGTGAAGAGAAAGAAGGAGTCAAATAATAGATACATAAGTGTTGAACCCAAAAAGAAAAAGCCAAAGAAAACAAATGGGTTTTAAGATGTTTTATGCACTGATTCGGATACTCTGAGACTTTGCCGGAGGCTGTTTCAGAACTGAGAAGCAACAACAATAACAGGACTAGATAGTGATGAGACTGACTTCCATCCTATGGTTTTATAAATTTATATTTATTATCCTTTTCTGTTTTCTGAGTTCTTCTTCCAGAATGTGCTTCATACCTGAAGGGAAAAACCCCACCTCTGAACCATCATATCAACCTGAACGTTAGGATTCCTTTTAATGTTAACTCTCTTTAAGACCGGCTGACCGCTCCATACACATACAGTATACATTGACAGTCTATTGGCGATCATCTATGCTGCAATTGGATTTGTATTTTTCCGAGCAGAGTTAAAAATGGATGATACTCCTCTTGATAGCATTAGCCTGCTCTAGTTATGCTGAGACTGCTCAATGCTGAGCTCCATTGAGAATAGGTTTAAAGGGGTTGAATGCCTTCTGCTGAGGCAGGGCATCTACTGGCCACTCTTTACATGCCTCTGGCGCGGCCCGCTGGCCTTTGTGTCACCCAACAATGATGGCACCGTAGCACCACAGCCAGGGAGAGATCATTGTTCAGTTCAGCCAATGGGAGAGCAACAAATAGACGTTTATGTGATGTGTGAGTTTCTGTGCATATGTGTGTATGTGCATGGTAATGCAAAGGTGAATGCATGTGAAGTGAATGTCTCTTTCACACCTGTTGCTTTTGCATCTACTCTGTGACGAAGGGGAGGGCGACGTCACACAAGGAAAGAGCCAATCAGACATTAGCTGTTTGGATTTATGCCAGGGTTTTTAGGCTTGTAAGACTTTAGTACAAGTGGCAAAAGCCAGTTTTAAAAAAAAAAGAAAAGTCAGCTGAGACGAGATGCCCTATACACCGTCTGGCTTTTTCTGTGACCGGTTGATCCGGGAACGAGAGAGGAGAGATGGGGAAGGATCTCTGAACAAGCCCCTCCGCTTCAACGGCCAGGATTTCACCGTTCTGAGACAGGAGTCCCTTCAGAGGAAGACCCTGTTTGAGGATGACTCTTTCCCGGCCACTGTGGAGTCTTTGGGCTTCAAGGAGCTCGGACACAAGTCCAACAAGGTCAAGAACATCGTCTGGAAGAGGCCAAAGGTAAGTTGGAGGGGGTTTAGACTGGGAAGGAGCATAAAGTTAAATAAAGAGGGGATGAATCACACATGTGGGAGGTGGGACACTATTTTTAATACGAAGCAACTTCAAACCTGAGCGGAAATCTAACAGCTGTGGGATTTTACCTGGAGATGCTTAAAATATTCCTCACCAGCCCTACATGGATGGATAGGAATTAAATTACTGTCCTGTGTGTCATTATGCATGTATTTCCTATTTTCTGGCTTGATGGCTCTAGTATAATGGATGTTTTATTACTCATCTATTTAGAGACAACTGTAATTTAGACCACCAGTCAGTATTTACATAAATCACAAGCATACAACTTTCCTTAATCCGTAGACTAAGACAATCGGATGGTTATGAAATTGATTATTGATCCTTGTTGTCCTAAAGTTGACTCTTTTTGTTTATTCTTGTCTACAGGAGATCTGTGAGAACCCTCAGTTCATTGTTGGAGGAGCCAGTAGGACAGACATCTGCCAGGGAGATCTTGGTAAATTATGCCTCTTTTAACACTTTAAGCACAGTATCACAGCATCAACTGACTCAGAACGCAAAGACGGGAGGGATTTGGACCAAACTACAATGAAGGAACGTTTCAATGATGACTGACTTTGCAATGACCTGTAATCAACCCCAGCTTAATGTTAATGAGCTAAAATAACAACAACAACACATCTGTGCAATAACAAAAGGACCATCCAAATCCACCTTAAAACCCTGTCCTGTCATTGTTCTGTGTATTCATTGTTTCTTGTTATTGTTTAAACTCACTGACTGAAGCAAAAAAAAAACACAGAAAGCAGGTACACATACAGTGTGACGGGACTGTATGAAGCTATACTGTATGGAAACACTCTCAGTGCATTCGACATTCAGTCACAGTCTGTATTCAGGCAGCTTTTAGGGGGTAACAGGGTAGCAAATATCCCATCAATCCCCCGCACATGGCCTCCCTATATTGTGCTTATTCTTTTGGAAGGGAATCCAACCAGCAGCACTTCTCATTGTTGTTCAGTTCAGTCTGCAAATAAAGGGGACCAAAGGGGACAAAGGTCCTGGCAGACACTGTTAACCATCCCCTGTACATTGTTTCCAGCGTGGCAGCTAACACCCCGTCACACACACACGCACACGCACACACACACCTGGACAATCAGAAAACACAAACGTCAGCGCTCGGCGGCGGTCTTTTCCTATATATGTCCAGCAGAGAAGTCTTTGTTTTTGTTGTGAGTGAAATCACAATTGCAAAGGTACATATTCTTTACAATAGCAGCTGTTTTCTTGTTGAATTACCAAAATCCATAAAGTAGGTCATCAACACATTGTCCTCAAAATCCATTAGTAGACGTTTTTAAATCATTTATAAGCCCAAGAGTAGATGAAATCACCCCAGCTGTGGTTGCATATGATATGTGACTGCTCTAAAAACTGCTCTGCTCTAATAAAATACATTAAAACTGTATTCAGGTGAATTCAATGAAATGATTTTCTGTGTTCAGGTGACTGCTGGTTGCTGGCTGCCATCGCCTGTCTCACTCTGAATGAGAAGCTTCTCTATCGTGTTGTTCCCCAGGAGCAAAGCTTCTCTGAGGGCTATGGTGGCATCTTCCACTTCCAGGTCAGAAACGCAAAGTCTCAAAATCCTAATATTCAGTCCTACCTTCAGCATTTTAGCCTCATTACAATCAAGTTTATTGAAACAAATGAGAAAAACAACATTCATTCAGTGGATGTGTAACATTAACTTCAAACAGAGAAATAACCCTGATAAAGTTCCTTTGATTCAAGAGCTTAAATTTCGTAGAAGCTGAAGGAATGTCATTTTTCTCATTATTGTTCTACCCCCTTCTGCCCTCCAGTTCTGGCGTTATGGCGACTGGGTTGATGTTGTCATTGACGACCGCATCCCCACCTTCAACAACCAGCTGGTCTTCACTAAGTCCGCTGAGAGGAACGAGTTCTGGAGCGCCCTGCTGGAGAAGGCTTATGCCAAGTGAGTGAGCAGTGAACTGTTTTATCCCTGTGGAGGAGAATTGGAGAGCTTTTTGTTGTGTTTTCTGGTGCAATGTTCTCAGGCAGCGGATCTCGAGACATAGTCATGAGGTGGCATGGAGATTTTAAAGGACCAGTGTGAAGGATTCAGTGGCATCTAGTGGTGTATTGGCATATTTCAACTCCCTTGCTTTCAAGTGTGAAAGGGGAAACTACGGTGGCCTCAACGGCCCATTCTAGAGCTAGTGTTTTGTTTGTCTGTTCTGGGTTCCTGTAGAAATGAAATTATGGAGACATTAGTTTCCACTGATTTTACACAAATGAAAACATACCAATGAATATTCAATTTCTGCCAATAGATTCTCATAAATGTTACACACTGGCCCTTTTAAGGAGTGGCAGAAACTAATCTATCAAAATTAGCTTGGAAAAGCCCCCAAATGAAGATATTTTAACTCATCAGTAAAGCATTGACTAGAAATATCTAAGGTGAATAAATTTTTTTCCCAAATCCTTAAACATTCTTCCAAATACACTGAATTTAGTCTAAAATGTGGCCATAACAGATCATTAATCATGTGTTAATTTCATTTTTTTTTTAGTAATCTAGATGTGTTAAATTTGACAACATTTGACACTATATTATTCCCCCCTCTAGATCCGCCCCTGAGTATAGTCTTAACGTTTAGCTTCGGCTAAAGAACAGGGCTTAAATAAGTACACTGTTTTACTGGATTGCAAATTTGTGATTGAGACAGGTTGTAGCTGCTTTTTTTAGTTTTCTACAGATTGTATTAGCATATGTGTGTGGGCAGGAGTTTTGTGTCATATAATATGTCCTTTTTGGCGTAGAAAAACATTACTCACCACTTAAGTTGGGCTAAATAACAGGAGGAAGAATAAAAATAACTTTAACCAGTTATGTATCTCACATAGTAACAGTACATATAACACAGAAGACAGATGCATTGATATGTCTTAATTAACGAATTAAAAATCTAAATGTGACATCTATGCTCCTCCCTGTCCAGGCTGCATGGCTCCTACGAGGCCCTGAAGGGTGGAAACACCACCGAGGCCATGGAGGATTTCACCGGTGGAGTCACTGAGTTCTACGAGATGAAGGAGGCTCCCAAAGAGCTCTATAAGATCATGAAGAAAGCTCTGGAGAGAGGCTCCCTCATGGGCTGCTCCATTGATGTGAGTCAAGACATTTTTTATGTAACTGCAGTACAGAGGATGAGGACTGTGATTCCCACGTTAATAACCGGGGTTTTCTATCAGAGTAAACTCAAAAGCTTTGTCTCTCTGCTGGTTGAAATGTCACGGTGCATTTTATTTGTTAATTCAGAGCTTTTACTTTTGTTTTGTGTATCTGCAGTCCCTGGTTCCTGCTCGCTTTGAGACTCGTACTGTGACAGGACTTGTGAAGGGTCACGCCTACTCTGTGACCGCAGTGGACGAGGTAAAGCTGGCTGATTGATTGTGTGTAATGTGCTGTAATGTGCAGGTCAACACAGTAACAACATAAACAATAATTATATTATCGTGCAATTATATTATCGTCGACTCATCGTGCAATATATGCGATGTGTAATTATTGCCTGTCACAACTTATTTTAAGATATACGACTTGACCTCGATCATTTTTGCTGACTTCTTTATCGCCTGTTGTGCATAAAGAATGTTTTAAACAACATGTTGCCAGAATAAACAGCAGGGTTTTCTCCACCATTATAAGACTTGGTCACAGCGCCTAAACATTTTATTTATTGAGGATATTTTAATATTTCTTTTACATTCCAGTGTCTGAATATTCTTAAAAATGTAAAGTTTGTTGCTCTTTGAAAGGCTGTTCATGCATTGTTATGGTAATAGTTGTATCACTGGCATAATAATATTGTTTATTGCAATTATTTATGGGACTATATATCATCCAAAAAAAGTAGTTAATGTGACAGGTGTCAATGCTGCATTTAATTGTTTTTTTGCATCCTCCTACAGTGCAAACCATCTCAGCAAAAGGACAGTAAGGTTCGTCTGGTGCGTCTGAGGAACCCGTGGGGTCAAGTGGAATGGAACGGTCCCTGGAGTGACAAGTGAGGAGTTTTTAACCATCATAATGAAATCTTTTACTTTCAGTCCTACTTTTCTGTTACAGCAGAGATAAGAGTTTGATAAAGGTACAATTGTGATGTTGTAATATTACTTTTCTTTTTTTTCCCCGTAACTTTTGACAATTTCACTATTTTTGACCTTCTGTCCATCAGCTCTAAGGAGTGGACCACGCTCTCTAAGGCTGACAAAGATAAGCTGCAGCACCAGAGTGCCGAGGATGGAGAGTTCTGGTAAATGGCATATTTTTACAGTTTAATTAGCAAGATCTCATGTTTCTCTGTTCAAAATGTGATTATTTTAGTTTTAGTTTATATGGAATTAAAACAAACAGAAGGCAGATTGTGACAAAAATTATTCTAACACAATTGCTTTTTACCACTAGTGTGAGTGTGTTGCCGCAGTAATATTATGAGGAGAGCACTTCCATACATTGTATTGGTATTTAGAGGGAGTTGGGAAATGTACTGAGCTGCAAGATGTAGAGATATTAGCCAGATGTCTCTTCTGTGCCCATTTAGGATGTCCTTCGAGGACTTCAAGAAGAACTACACTAAGATTGAGATCTGTAACCTCACCCCTGACGCCCTGGAGGACGATAAGATCCACAAGTGGACGGTTTCTGTGAACGAAGGTCGCTGGGTGAGAGGCTGTTCCGCCGGGGGCTGCAGGAACTACCCAGGTACCTCAATCTGCAGAACAACACCAGAATTTACCACTTTCTCTGAAGTTTAACCCACAAACAGAAGAGTATCTACTGCTTGTTTAATCGTTGACTATCATAATATAGAGAATCAAGTCTGACAGCATTTCATCAGTTTCTGTCCAATTAAAAACTACCAGAATTATATTTTTATATGGTAAATGTAGTTTTAGATCTCTACTCTTTATATCAATGATAATAATAATGATAATAACTTTATTTGTATAGCACTTTTTTAACTTAAATATATTATAAAGATTAAGATTAAAAGCAATATATGAGATGGACAGAATACAACCAAATAAACCAACGATCAGAGAAACTATTAAAAAAGAGATTAAAAACATTAAAAACACGCAAGGGGAAAAAAACATAATACTTGGCAGTAAAATAAAATAAATGATTAAAATAAAATATAAAATAACAAAAACTGAAATAAATCCCAAGGATACACAGAAAATATTGTGTAAATTCATATAAAAGTGTGATTTTAAAAGGAATATAAAAGATGAAACCAATTTTGGCTAGCAGATTTACTCAGGTAGGCCGTTCCAAAGTGCAGGCGCTCAATACTACACCGTTTTCAAAAAACAGAAATCTAATAAAAAACAAAAATATTACACCTATGAAAATACTGCAAAATGTCCCGCAGACACTTTCTGGACCAACCCTCAGTACCGCCTCCGTCTGCTGGAGGAGGATGACGATCCCGAGGACAACGAAGTGGGCTGCACCTTCGTGGTGGCTCTGATGCAGAAGAACAGGCGGAAAGAGCGCAAGATGGGAGCCAACCTCTTCACCATCGGATTCGCCATTTACGAGGTGAGAGACTTTGTGTTTCCACTGAATCTTCAACACCTGCTGATAGCCTGTGGTTGTTTTTATTACAGCGGCACAGTTTAAATATTGTCATGTTAATTTAGAAGATTTGATAGCACATGTTGCATTTTATGCCTCATAATTCTTCAGTACCAAATTATGTTGAAGTAAATCACAGGTTTTTATGTTGCTCTTTGTTTTGGAATCAGTTTCATTAATATGTTTGACACCACAAGAGAAATTAGCTTTTAATTTGCATCCTTAAGTGACACAAACACTGATGTTGCCTCTGTCTCTCTACAGGTGCCAAAGGAGGTAAGGAAGGTGTAAACCAAACTCTCACAGTGGAGCAGCAGTTTGCAAGTTAATTACACCTCACACAGTTTTTATACAATTATCCTGGTCTTAACTAACCTATGAAGGAATGTTTTAATACATATGAACTGTTTCCATTCATCATTTCCTCCTTTTTCCACTGTGACTCCCACCCCCCACCCCCACTCCAGATGCATGGGAACAAGCAGCACATGCAGAAGGACTTCTTCCTGTTCAACTCCTCCAAGGCTCGTTGCAAGTCCTACATCAACCTGCGCGAGGTGACCCAGCGTTTCCGCCTGAGCTCTGGGGAGTATGTCATCGTCCCCTCCACGTACGAGCCGCACCAGGAGGGAGAGTTCATCCTGCGAGTCTTCTCTGAAAAGAGGAACACCTCAGAGTGAGTGGGTGAGGGTGATCAGGGTGGCCTGCAGTGGGCGAACTGGGTAAGAGGAGGGTATTGGGTACGTAGTTCCACCCCCCCATTAGAATAATACAGTTACAGTTTGTTAGTAGATATTTATGTAATTCCTTCGATGTTGATTCTATGTTTCTTAGTAGGGCTGGGTATTAAACTGCGACATATATCAGAACCATATTGGTCACTGATAGTAATGTTTAGGTATTAGAGGATATTAAAACAGTTTTGCTTCACATGGAGATCAGTTGTGTTGAAGGGAAGTTGTGATTTCCACCTCACAAAGAGATGCAACACCGGTTAGGGCAACAACCAACACTACTGTACTGAAGCCTGTATGATTGTTGTTGTATGGCCTGGCTCAGGTTAAACCCTCAGAATAAAAGTAAGTGCGAGTAGTGAGGCGGTGGAATCAGCATGTTTGGCATTTTTGCTCAAAAAATGTGAATCAATAATCTGTTAATCAACTACAAAAACAGATTAATCCCTTCAGCCCAAAGGCTGTTAAATACTTCCAATAATCTTCTATTTTATTACAAGTGCAAAAGTATGTTTCAAACCAAAATTAGCTCTTTGTCAGGTAGAGGAATCAAATCAAAACTGGTTTGAGCCGCACTGTTTTTAAATACTTCTGCACGTGATGATGAGTCAATATGAGCTCAAAACACTTTTTCTAACATAATTAAATCGAAATGTCAAACGAGGCATCCAGCAGTGTTGCATGTGTTTGTGAGACGGACTCACAGCTAGAGTTTTATGGACTCTGGACAATAAGAAAACCGAG